GGGGGGGGGGGGGGGGGGGGGGGGGGGGGAGATAGAAACAAAGATTTACCCAGACAAGAAGGAAGAATTCTCCGATAAATTTTTGGAAAAGGGTACTGAAATCTGGAAACATTGGGCAAATTAATGCTGATCGCATAAGATTCGCATGTGCGGATGCATCTCCAACCATAGGGGAACAGAGCGAGGGCTCCTTGCAGAGCATCCCTGACTCCCTTATTCTCGGTTTGAACCCAGAATAGACAGTGGCCTGAGAGGGAATACCCGACCTTTCTTCCAGGAACACATATCCAGGGAACAGTAGTCTGATAGGTGAAAAGCAAGCAGGACTGGAGCGGAGGTACATCCTTTTCCTAGTAAAGGATGTAATTGCATGGGTCCTGGGGACCATCTCACGCAAGTGTGTACATGCCATGCATCGTACTCCCACACACAATGAACAGTAGTCTGACAATAGACAAAGATAGAGAAGATGAGGACCGAGTTTCACAGTTTATATTATCAGAAATATGAATACAAAGTGTTTCAAAGTTCCCCCGAGTCCAGCGCTCATCAGCTGTTGCATACCGTATAGGTGCAGACCAGAACAAGAACCGACCTTTCAATACAAAGTATAAGATAGCACAGCGGAAGACTTAGATACCAATGATCCGAACAATCCATATTGTAATGCAGCCCCGAACATACATCATCATCATCATGGTGTGAAGGGGTCTGGCGCTTCACACAAGAAGACTGCGTCATCCCCAACCATACACAGACGAAGGCGGTGGGGTTAGACGAAGCAGAAGGGACGATGGGAATGTCGTCGACACCAAGTGTTCAGCACAGGCCCAAATAGTCCCTCGTCAAAATGTCTGAATCCCAATGTCGAGTCTGGATCCAATGTTGTCAAGTCTCATGTCACAACTCTCTCTCTGTAGTAGTCCACTGACACTGAGAAATAGGTGGCGAGAGGGGAAGAAGAGATGGCGGACTTAGAAGAAGAGGAAGAAGAACTCTCTCTCTCTCTCTCTCTCTCTCTCTCTCTCTCTCTCAGTCCAATACTAACCTGTGAAGTTGGCGCCTTGATGCAGGTACCTCGAAGGTGGAGCTGGAGCAATGGCGCCACAGGTAAGTATCACTGGCCTCCGCCAGTACCCCCCCCAACTCTACGCTCTACCTCCTACTAGCGCCCAGCGCTGATGACTACAGCTATGGCTATGGCGCCCAGCGCCGATGACTACTGCTAGCGCTACCACTACTGCCTAGAGCTGAAGACTACTGCAGCGCTCCTCCTGAGTGCTGCGGCCGAAATCTGAAGACTACCGTCCTACTCTCCAACTGCCTACCCGTTCAGTGCCTGAAGCTCCTATGTACTATCACGGGTGCCTCCTGACTCGGGCGAGCAGTCCAGGAGGCTGCTCTTGCCAATAATGCCGAAGGGAGGCAGGGGCTGCAGCTGCAGCTCCTGCTCATGCTCTTGCCAATAATGCCGAAGGGAGGCAGGGGCTGCAG